TATTGATGAAGATGGTATCAGACCATCAAATGATAAAGTAAGGTCCGTTCAGTCATTTCCACTACCACATGATAAGAAATCACTTCAAAGATTTTTGGGCCTTACCTCATACTTTAGACGCTTTATAGAAGGATATGCGGTGGTTGCGAGGCCATTAAGTGATTTACTAAGAAAAAACGTCGATTTTCAATTCAAAGAAGAGCAGACAATTGCATTTCATCAGCTTAAGTTATCTCTTATAAGTGCACCAGTTTTGAAGCTTTATAATCCTAGTGCTCAAACTGAGATACACACAGACGCTAGTATGCACGGCTATGGAGGTGTTCTTTTACAGAAAGACGTAGACGACCAGCAATTTCATCCCATACAATTTATGAGTCGCAAAACTAGATCCGAAGAGCAAAAATACCATTCGTATGAGCTTGAAGTTCTTGCGATCATAGAAGCGTTGAAGAAGTGGAGAATATACGTTATAGRCAAAAAATTTAAAATAGTRAGTGACYGCAATGCGTTTACTTTAACTATGAAGAAGAAAGAAGTACCTTTAAGAGTCGCTCGTTGGGCTATGTACCTTCAGGACTTCGACTACGAAATTGAGCATAGACCTGGTACGAAAATGAAACACGTTGATGCTCTTAGCCGAATGACATCAATGCTGTTAGAAGATTCGCTGAGTTTTCGTTTACGGCAAGCACAGCAAAGTGATGATTGGGTAAATGCGGTAACTAGAGTTTTAGAAAGCAGTAYATACGAAGATTTTTATTTGAAAAACGGTATTCTGTATAAGGACCCAGTAAAAGAGTTAGTGGTGGTACCGCAAACAATGGAAGAAGAAATAATTCGAACAGCGCATAGTCAGGGGCACTGGTCAGCAAAAAAGACTCAGGATTATGTTGAAAAATCTTTCTATATTCCACAAATAGCACCAAAGATTGTGAAAATAGTGAAAAGTTGCATTGAATGCATTATTGGAGAAGCGAAGGTAGGGAAAAAGGAAGGGCTACTCTCTCCTATAAATAAAGAAGATAGGCCGCTAGCGACGTATCATATAGATCATATAGGCCCAATGGAACGGACCCATAAAAAGTACAATCACTTGCTAGTAGTGGTTGACGCGTTCAGCAAGTTTGTTTGGTTTTACCCTACTAGGAGTACAAACAGCGCATCCGTTATAGAAAGCCTAGAAAAGCAATCTTCCATATTTGGTAACCCTAAAAGGATTGTAACAGACAGGGGAACGGCTTTTACAGCCAAAAGCTTCGTTGATTATTGCAACAGAGAAGGAATACAACATCTACTCATTGCAACCGGCGTTCCACGTGGAAATGGGCAAGTAGAGCGTATAAATCGTGTCGTAATACAATTGTTAACTAAATTATGTCACAATAATCCGGCTAACTGGTACAAGCATGTTGAGAAAGTACAACGGCTGATAAATAACACACCTCCAAGAAGTACAAACTTTACACCCTTTAGAATATTAACAGGGCTTGAAATGCGCACATCTGAGGAGGTCGAGCTTCGTAAATTACTAGAAGAGTCCATGCTTAAGGAACTGCATGAAGATCGTGAAAATGTTAGGAGTCAGGTCGTGGAGAATATCTCCAAAATTCAAGAAGAGAACAGAAAAACTTTTAATGCCAAACGCAAACCAGAAGTAGAATATAATGTCGGTGACTTGGTAGCAATCAAGAGGACMCAGTATGGTGCAGGTCTTAAAATTAAGGCAAAGTACTTAGGGCCGTATTCAATAATTCAACGACTTCCACATGGAAGATACTCAGTCGAGAAGGTAGGTGACCACGAGGGTCCACATAAGACAATATCTGTTGCGGAATATATGAAGTCTTGGAATCCTTCGTTCGGGTCGAACGACGTATCAGGACGGCCGAATGTAGGAATGGCTTACGGAAGAACGACACGTAGTGGACKTAACTACTGAATACTTAAAAATACATCCCTACTTACTTGACACACAGAATACGAACTGGACGGATTGAACGAAGCGTGCGCTTGACTAGAGACGAACAGGACAGTTGAATTTTAAACCTCAATAAAGCAACATCAATTTGTATTAAACTAAGTTAATTAATATTAAAAACCCCTCTTTTATTTAAAACTTCCACATTTATACATATTTGATCAGCGACAATTGAATATCTAGATAAATTAATAAATTGAAAATTTTCGGCCGCATATTTAACAAACCGCACTTGCAATTTAATACCAACGCACACATGCACTCGTGTGCACCGTAATATTCACTATCACACCCATAATCAGCATTCGCGCCACCATATACGCCACTTCATGCGGGCACTTTTGGTTTCGAATAGCAATTTTCACGCACATGTGGTTTATGAATACATTTGCATATGTTTATCTACCTGCAATTGGAATTTGACGCTGTTTATTATTTCGTGTTTTTGTCCTCTTTCTGGATTGTAAATACACACCGTATTATTGCATATTTTTTGTGTAGTCGACCGTGAAGTTGATGATACCGAAATTATGTTCGCCAAATTCCACGTGTGATTGTAACGGTGTCATCGGTGTGTGCGAATACGCGTGCACTTTTAAATAATTGATAGTTGAATGTACTTTCAGCGAATAATGGCGCGAGTTGAATGCGCAGCGTATGATACTGTTTTCAAACAGTTGATTATTTCGTAGTTATTCACAAATTTGTGGCTCATCATTTCCATACTTAATCACAACTACTGTTGATGCAAATTATGTGTATAAATGAGCATTGCAGATTTCGAAGCTCATAGATTTAAACAGTAATACTTTGTTATTCATACAAATACTTTTGTGTGCAATACAACCATGTTTTTCTATTATTTGTTTGCAGATTTAATGCTTTTTAATAAACATGAAATTAATAGCTAGTAATTATGTTTTTCTCCTTTCATTTTTTAAGTTGACATAATAAAAGCAAAAGTAGGCTCGTGAGGCTCGCATAGACTTGATTTGGTTCCCTACGATGTCAAATAGAGTGCAAATATAGCCATTATTCAGAATCCCATAATTTGACGTGAATTTCAATAGGTCTTGCGGCTTTACTTTCGACGTCTCTTTTATCCAGTGTGTAACACACACTATTAACATGTCACATACTAAAAAAATGTTCTCTGGATTTCATAAAGTACCTCACATTCAATTGCCAATCATATGGAGTAAAGTCACTCGGATGTTCCAAAATATTTAAGATTAGTTATTAGGAGCGTAGGCCAAGTTTTCACCCAATTCTATTTATTTTGGGTACAACGATACACTGTTATGAGTATATCTTGCTCTATATGGAAGCTCAGTGAAGAATTGATCTCTGTGATATAGGAATGTGAGAAGAAAATCTTTTGGGCGGGTATCGAAATATGTGATTTCACAGAGCACTTATATACCATCTTGGTTGTAAAACTACATGTCTCTGATATATTTCGTCATTGATTTATCCCACCTTTAATAGGTCTTAACAGTCCCGTTATATGGGGAGTGGATGGGGTTCTAACGATTTCATCCATTTTACAGTGTGGATAGGGGTGCTAAAGAGATATGTGGTGAGCAAATTCGGTAATTACAGCTTAAGTGGCTTAGGAGATATGTACATTAAACCAATTAGAAGGCGGACTGACGCCCACTTTTTGAAAGTTTTATCCTACATCTACACCTTGCTACTGCTATTACAGGTCTATATCATAATTTAGTGTTATGCGTTTTCGATTAACGACGTTTTGCTGTCCTCTACAAACTCTTTCTCCGTCTTTTGCCAGGTAACTCGTGTACCAAGTGCCATCAAGATACCTTTATTTTTGCTCATGGTACAGCTTGCATGGAGGGACGGATAGAGAGACAGTCACCCCGATTTCTGATAATTTTCTTATATATAATATAACTCAATAACTGTCTCGACTTAGGTGATACACGTTGCAAGAGTGTAAAAATGAGGCAGCTTAAAGTGCGAGTATTAAAAAACTTATAACTAAATACATTTAGGTTATTTCGTATAATAATTTAATTCGCATTGAGTTTTAACAATTTTCCCTTGTATTTTATTTCCAGAAATATAAAAATATTTCATCCATTCTACATTGAACTCCCTCGTGATTACTTCCAATAATTGAAAGGTAGTAATTCGGTGCGATTACAGTAATTCAATTCAGCTGAGTAAGTAGAAAATGTGGCAAATTGTTTGGTTGCAAAAAAGCACTACGAATATCAATAAACTGCATGTCTCCAAAGGCAATGAAATGTAAATAGATACACGATGCAGATAGAAGCACTGCAAGATGGCTTGTTGCAAGTAAATGGACCGAGTTGAGAAAATGCCGGAGCTGTCTTGCCATACGCTCATGCAAATATTGTTGTTCTTGTTGTGCATTGAAAAGTACTTAGAAGAAGGTAATGTGCGTAGTTACTTTATCAGAGTTGCCTTTGTGTGAAATGTGTAGGTGTGTGGTTGGACGGACGGACGGATGGGCGATATAGTGAAACTGCTTCGAGTATTAACTGTGAAATAGTTGTGCAAAGTGCAAAGTGCTGCGGTAAATAATATTTTAAAGTTCATGCAAAGTGAAAAAGAAAGCGCTTACGGCGAAGGTGTAGAAAGTGATAAAATATGTGGAAAGTGGTGTGCAACAAGAAAGTAGGTTAAGTAAAATAAAGTAGAATTAAAGTGGTTCAATAAAAAGTGCGTGTGTTGGCAAAGCTTAATTAGAGTATTCTATAAAAAGCAAGTGTTAAAATTATAATTTATATTTTTATATAAGGTTTGTGAAGTAAATAAAAATGTGAGAAAAAATTAAAAAATAAAATAAAATATAAAATATAATTAATGCGTTAAAATAGTGCAAAAAATGAAATAAGTGCTAATAAAAAATATAAAGTGAGAGAAAAGTGAAGTGTCACCCGTGCATTAGTGAATAAAGGCAACACAACGATGGAAGCGTATATCTCCTGCCGGTCATAATTTTCAATTAAAAAGGTAAGTGCGTGCTTTTTTTTCCTTTTTGAAACATTATTCTTTATGGAATTCGGTGTAAAATATTTATATATATTTATGTTTTAAAAAAACTTTATGAAAGAAACGGTTATTTACTCTTAGTTGAGAGAGCAAGGGGAGGACCTCTTTATTCTATAGGTTGCGGCAGTATAAAAAACGAATGTGAAAATAAATAAATGAATCCATCGCTACAACACTGAATCCACTGCTATAAGTAATTTTCATAGGCTAATCTTGAAGACAATTTTACTCCAATAAAATAATTCTGCATTGACCTAAAGAAATAGTAGTCCGATTGTGCAAGGTTAGGGCTATATGGTGGATGTATCCAAACTTCCCAGGAAAGCTCTCCCAGTTTTTGCTGAGTCAACAAAGATATGTGTGGTCTAGTTTTGCCAGGATGAAATAACAATTCTATTGATTAGTTCTTTTCGTTTTTTTTTCGATTGCTTGTTTCAATTGCATCAGTTGTTGCAAGTAAAATGTAGAATCAATCGTTCCATCAGGCTGAAGCAGCTCATACTGGATGATTCCCTTCTAAGTCCATCAAACACTCAGCGTAACCTTTCGAGGCATCAATCCTGGCTTTGCGACCATTTGTTGAGCGTCGCCACGCTTGAACGATGATCTTTTTGCACATTATTGTCGTATTTGATCCACTTTTCGTCTCATGCAACCATTCTCTTCATAAATGGTTCGCTTATAATTCGTTTCAACAAAAAATCGCAGATCTTAATCCGGTCCATTAAATTTTTACAGACAATTTATGTGGTACCCCAACATCGAGATTCCATGTGATTGGTAGAACGGGAGATATACGACTGCAACGACATCTATTGACAAAATATGAAAAGACTTCTTCGACTACCAATAGTAAGTTACACCAGGACGTCGTTTTTTCGTACTTGTTTTTTAGTTTTTAATTACAGTTTTTTTATATTAGCATAATTTTATTAAATGTCCACATTCAATACAATTCAAACAAGTAAATGCGTTTATGGACTTGGAGAAAGCAAAAAGAGTTGATACATTAACTTAACTTGCTATCTAATACCCATTTACTTTTTACATCGAAAACAGTAAAGGCATACGATTTCGATTGAACGAACACTTTGTTCAACCGCAACAGACATATTGAGGTTCACTGCAAGATTTTCGCATTGCGTTGCACAAATAAAACTAGGGCTTGTAGGAAAGTGTGACTCACGTGAATAATTTAAAGCGAAGTCAGTAAGCAAGTAGAGGTAAACAGTTTGCCAGTTTTATCTAATAAAGTTTTTTCTCAAGATAATATAAAAAAAAAAAAACTATGAGAAAAAAAGTAAGACTTTTAAAATTCTTAATTTATGTTTCAAAATCTGTGTTATCAAAAACCAAGAGTTGTCGGCACATAATTTCGGCTTTTTGCAAATAGCTTCGCGCAAACGACACATAATACTCAAATATTTCTTGTTGACAGTTTGGCCGGTCGGAAGGAATTCGGAGTGCATTACATCTCGATAATCGAAGAAAAAAGTCAACATAACGTTATTTTTTACCTAATTTGACATGGTTTTCTTTTCTTCGGGTCACCTTTGCTACGATATCGGTCGATTGGTCGTGTGTTTCCGGGTCTTAAGCATGGATCCAAGACTCATCAGTAATAATACATTTTCGAACAAATTGAGTGATTTTGCAACCGTGGTTTAGAATCGTGGTTTTGCTTTTCTTAGACCCAATTGATCTTTCAAAATGGTTTACAGTGATGCTCTAGATATTTTAACGATGCCAGTAAGATCTCTGACCGTTAGTCGTCGATTCTCAAGCAGCAATTTCTTTATTTTATTGACATGTTGATCCTCAGTTGATATAATTGGCCGTTCTCGACGTATTTCGTCATCAACGCCTGGGACGCGTAATTTGTATCAATAAATTATATGTACTTCCTCGCGACAAACAATTTTGACCGAAGGCCTTTTGCAATATTCTGAACCTTTCGACACAAGAAATTTGATTCCGAACACAAACTTTAATGGATTTCTTTGTAAAATAATTCCACTAATGGTAAAAGTCGCCCAATGCACTTTATGTACTTCAGAAACGCAAGCGAATACTAAATACTAATGTTTATTTTGATGTGACATTTGGCACATATGTCACTGGCAGTCATACAAACCTAGTACACAAATATTTCGATGAATGAGTTTTTGTGTTAAAAAGGCTTACTATTTTTTGCCCACAGTATATTTCGTTCTAAATCTTTTTCCGACCAGGCTTTTGTCATCTCCTCTAACGCAACTGGCGTTATCTTGTTCGCTGGAGCTTAATCCACAGAGTATGTTAACCACTAGTGCCTAGCAGCATATGCCAGAAAAGGCAATGATATGAAAACGAGTAGCTGTAAAGTAGTCCAAATAATTGTTAGCCATTTCGTATTAAGTGTTTCGAAATTCTTGTTGTTTCTTTGTGAGCGGTAGGTCGCTCGTTTATGTGATGTCCGTATTCATTGCAAATTACTGTTAGATTAGTCCAAATACTTGAGCGCAGTTTGAGTGCAATCGACTTGTGATGGGGTGTAAGGAGGTTCTAAACGATATCATCATTTTATTCACTGGTGTTTGCATAGATTTTTGATTTTTTTCAAACTTCTGTTTAGGTTAGTTTGTAATTTTTAGGAATGTAAATGAACTTAATTAATCAGAGCCTTAAAGGATATTTATAAAAGTAATAAATATATGATTTAATTTCCGATAAGCGTACTATGTTGGTTAACTTTATTAATACCGTCTCTGAAATAATTATATTCCGCGGTATCTATATTTAAAGGTTCTTAAGTTCTTGGTAGCGCATTTATTATTTAATTATGATTTTTGCCATACTCTGTGTTTGATTTTTTTTTTATATTTTTATTTAGTCCTCTCTTTTTTACTAAGCGATATAAAATAGTTGTTGTTGACGAAAAAAATGTCTGTATGTTTGTTTGTTTGTTAAATGTGCTTTTTCTGCACGTTTCGCTGTACTTTAATAAGCTTTCTCATTTACAACAACGCGGTGCTTTTTGCATGATTTTACGCGATTTTAATACACAGCAGTGGCGCCATGGCATCCGCGCTGGCAACAGGATAATAAAATAATAAACTTATTGTATTGTAGTGACAGCAATGAACAGAATTCGCTGCTGGCTGGTGCCCGACCACAGTCACATAGTCATTTACTCACTGATTTTCAGTGCAGAGAAAAACACTTCGCTGCGTCGCACGCTGCCGCCTGTTGCTGGGCTACACATTAACGCCGCGCTGTGCGTTACACCGCCATGCATTCTTGTATGTATATAGTATGCTCTCATGCAGACAGACACACATATGTATATATACGTGGTTTCTTATCTCATTTTGCGCCCGTAAATCTGTTCTCGCTGGGTGCCGCGTTGCCTCCTGCGGCGGCTCAACTACACTGGCTGGCACTTTCTTCGTCTTCCTCGCTGCTTCGTTTGCATACATTTATGGCATTGTAAAAAATCTATACAGAAAATTCGAGGTGTCTTACAGAATACAGCTTTATGAAGGGCAACAATTTATCCTTTGTATACTATTGCTTAAAATAATGAGTAACTCTTAAATGTGTTATTATTACTTTGATTTTTCCCTAAAGGTGCGCCGAAAATAACAAGTGATGATTTTTTCCAACACTACAGGGGTGTCTTAAATATTTTTGGCATAAGAGAACAAAAACAAATATTAATCATTGAAAATCGCTGTGTTTTTTTTTTTTGTCAAAATATTCTCCATTACAATCTATCCACTTTCGCTTGCGTTTGAGTCAATTGTCGAGGCACTTTTGATAGTTTGATTGAGATATCTCCAAAAGATGCGTTCTGAAAGCATAAACCGTCTTTTCAATTGTCGAAAAACGTTAACATCTTAATTTATTCTTCTCGTACGGGTATAAAAAGAAGTCATTCGGTGCTAAGTCAAGACTATACGGAGGAAGACTCAACAAATCGATGTTTCGAGCGCTCAAAAAAGCGGTTGTCTCAGTCGATGTTTGACGGCTCACTTTGTCTTAGTGGGATCCGTTTTCGCCGGTTGGTTTTCCTGATCTCTTCAAAGACAAATGGTAAGCAAATGTTGTGTTCTACGGTTCTGCGTTGTTGTGTCCTTTCCAAAAAAAAAAAAAAAAAAGGCAGCCATTTGCTTTCATGTGTTTCGTGAAAACATTTTGTTGCCGATAGCTTCAATAGTTTCGGGAACAACAATTGGTTTTGTACAACCTTCATGAAAATCCTCTTGTAGTGATCTATGACCCCGTCTAAATACACCATTCAATCGATAAATATTGATGCTTGAGAAATCTTAATCGACAAAAATTGAATTACAGTAGACGAGACGAATATTTTAAGTTACTGTATACGTTACGAGTAGCGCACGTATGTCAAAACGTTCTGAGTATGAACAATATCAAATATATCAAAATTAACGATAAAGTTGTGACTGTCCAGGTTGCAACTCTAGGGTTGCCAGATCCCGAAATATGAAATGAAACCTACATACCGCTGATTTTAAGTAATTCATACGCGATGGAGTTCTTATAAGGGAAATTATATGCTTAAGGAATCGTTTTGTATCAATTTGGAGTGATTAGGTTTCAGTTTTCTGGAATTACGGTTTTTTTGTACTGGATTATAGGCTGATTTCTTCGAACTTGGTTAGCTACATTGCTCAAAATTTAAGTCGGTCCAATAGCGGCAATCCAAAACTTCCGGAGGGCTTTTATTTTCGAATGGTTATTAAGATTCACTTATAAGTGAGACTCCACAAAATCTTAATATAAGTAAATACCAACAACAAACCCTGCAAACATGTCAAAACAAAGAGACATTCCCAACATATTCAAATAAGTGAGTTCATGCTCCACTTCACATATTATGGTACCTGTGGCAGAGTTAATACATGAGTTATTTACGAGTATGAATGCGCTTATGTTTATATAAAAGCGCTGCGTGA